GTCCTCTATTACCCTCTGTGTACCTCACCGACTGTCCTCTATTACCCCATGCACCTCACTGACTGCCCTGTAATGACAATGCGACAATGCCCTCAGCACCCAGCTGATATCATGCAGGTGTTTGGCACAGAAAAATGTCCCTTCGGCCCATCAAAAACATTGGTCAAAAACAACCACCTAACTATTCTAATTCCACTTTCCAGCTTGTGGCCCATAGTCTTGTAAAGCTTGGCATCACAAATAACAAAGAGTCATAGAGACGTAGAGATATACAGCACGGAAACAGACTCTTCATCCATGCCGAGCAAGTATCCTATATAAATCTAGTCCCATTTGCCAGCATTTGGCCTATGTTCCTCTAAACCCTTCCTATTCAAGTACCCACCCAGATGTCTTTTAATTATTTTAATCGTACCAGCCTCCACCATCTTCTGAATACTTCTGAAATATTGTGAGGGTTTCTGCCTCTATCACACTTACAGGCAGTGAGTTCCAGACTCCCAACACCCTCTGAGTGAAAAAAAAATTCCTCACATCCCCTTTAACCCTCCTGCTTCTTACCTTAAATCTATGTCCCCGGTCGTTGATCCATCCAACAAAGGAAAGGATTCCTTCCTGTCTATCCTGTCCAAGCCCTCATCATTTTATACATTGTAATTATGTCTTCCCTCAATCTCCTCTGCTCCAAGGAAAAAAAAACCAGTCTGTCCAAACTCTCTTCATAACTAAAACTCTCCAGTCCAAGCAAAATCCTAACAGATCAACTCTGCACACTCTCCGGTGTTATCACATCCCTCCTATCACATGGATTCCAGAACTGCACATAATACTCTCGCTGTGGCCTCACCAGCATTTTATACAGTTCCAGCATAACCTCCTTGCTCTTAATCTCTATGCCTCGGCTGATAAAGGCAAGTATTTGTTACTTTAAAGGACCAGTGGTCATTCATGTCAAGGTCCCTCTGTTCTTTGGTGCTTCCCAGGGTCCTACCGTTCATCATGCATTCCCTTATCTTATTTGTCCTGCCCAAGTGCATCACCTCACATTTATCCAGATTGAGTTCTATTTACCACTGATCAGCCCTCTATATCCCCTTGTAATCTCAGGCTTTCCTCCTCACGGTTTACTATCCCACCAATTTCCATATCATCCATGAATGTACTGATTAACCTTCTTAGTTCAAGTTTAAACCGTTCATATACCCCAAACAGCAAGGGCCTCAACACTCATCCCTGTGGAACCCCACTGAACACAGGCTTCCAGTCATGAAAATATCCCTCGACTGTCCTCTGCTTCCCACCACTCAGCCAACTCTGGATCCAATTTGCCAATTTCCTTGGATCCCATGAGTTCTTATCTTTGCTATCAGTCTCCCATGTGGGGACCTTATCAAAAGCCTTCGTAGAATCATAGAATCAATAATCCCTTGCTGAAGTCCAAGTAGACAACGTCGAATGCATTGCCCTTGTCTATACACCTGGTCACTCTTTGAAAATTTCAATTACGTTGGTCAGACATGACCTCCCCTTAACAAAGCCATGCTGACTGTCCTTGATTAATCTCTGCCTCTCCAAATGCAGAGTACTTCTGTTGTTCAGCATTGTTTCCATTAGTTTCCCTACACTGAGGTTTTACTGATTGACCTGCAGTTTCCTAGTTAATCCCTTCTTGCCTACTTGAATAACATGTACTACATTGGTTGTCCTCCAGTCCTCTGGCATCTCTCCTACGGCCAGAGAGAAATTGAACATTATTGCCATTGGCTCTGCTTTTTCCTCCCGTGCCTCAATCAACAGAGTGGGATACATTTCATAAAACCTGGAACATAGAGCAGCATGGGAATGGGCCCTTTGGCCCACGATGTTGTGCTGAACACGATGCCAAATAAAACTAATTCCTTCTGCTTGCCCTTGGTCCATATTGTTCCATTCCTTGCATATTCATGTGCTTATCTAAAAGTCCCTTAAATGCCCTTATCATATCTGCCTCCATCACCACCCATGTGTTCCAGACTCCTACCCCTCTCTGTGTAAAAAAATTGCCCTCACATCTCCTTTGAACTTTTGCCTGCTAAATACATGCCCCCTAGTTATTAAACATTTCAATCTTGGGAAAAAGATTTTGACTGTCAACCTTATCTACGCATCCCATAATTTTACAGACTTCTTTCAAGTCTGTCCTCGGTCTCCGCTGGTCCTGAGAAAACAACCCGAGTTTTTCTGGCCTCTCCTTATAGCTCATACCCTCTTATCCAGGCAGCATCTTGGTAAAGCTTTTCTGCACCCTCTCCAAAGCCTCCACTACTTCCTGTAATGTGGTGACCAGGATTGAACACAATACTCTAAATGTGGCCTAACCAGTCTTATAAAGATGTAACATGACATCATGACTCTTGCACTGAATTCCACAACCAATAAAAGCAAGTATGCTATACGCCTTCTTTACCACTATATCTATTTGCGTGGCCACGTTCAGGGAGCTATGGACTTGAACCCCAAGACCCTTCTGTAGATTAATGCTGTTCAAAGTCCTGCCATTAACTGTATAATTTTCCTTAACATTTGATCTCCTAAAATGCAGCACAGCACCTCACACTTACTCGTATTAAACTCCATCTGCCATTTCTCCACCCATATCTGCAACTGATCTATATCCCACTGAATCCTTTACTATCCACAACTCACTGATCTTTGTGTTGTCTGCAAACTTACTAACCCACCCGTCTACATTTTCATCCAAGTCAATTATATGAATCAGAAACGGCAGAGGTCCCAATATGGATCCCTGCGGAACTCCACTAGTCACGGACCTCCAGCCTGAGAAACACCCTTCCACCCCTACCCTCAATCTTCTACGGGCAAGCCAATTCTGAATTTACACGACCAAGCCACCATGGATCCCATGCATCTTAATCTTCTGGATGAGCGTACCATGTGGGACCTTGTCAAAAGCCTTACTAAAATCCATGTAAACAACATCCACTGTTCGACCCTCATCGATAACCTTTGTCACCTCCTCGAAAAATTCAATCAAGTTAGTAAGGCATGACGTGCCCTGCACAAGGCCATGCTGATTGTTCCTAATTAGGCTGTGCTTTTTCAAATGTGCGTAAATCTTATCCCTAAGAATTCTCGCCAATAGCCTCCCAACCATTGATGTGAGACTCACCACTCTGTAGTTTTCTGGATTATCCCTATTTCCCTTCTTGAACAGCAGAACAACATTAGCTACTTGCTAGTCCTCCGGGACCTTTCCGTTTCATCTGGCTCTGGATATTTATCTACTTTTAAGCATGCCAGACCACTCAGAACCTCCTGACTATCCAAGCTAATTTCTTGAAGTATATCATAGCTCTTCTCCCTGATTTCTATGCCCATATCATCCGTCTTACTAATGAACACTGACACAATGTACACATTTACGTCCTCAGCTCCATGCACTGTGGTCATTAATGGGCTTTACTCTTTCCTCAGTTACTCTTTTACGCTTAAAATACGTGTAGGATCTTTCTTTATTTTACCTGCCATTACCCTTCGTGTTTCCCTTTTTGCTCTCCTAATTTCCTGTTAAGTTTCCTTGCACATTATACTTCTTGTCCTCCTCTAGGGCTCCTGCTGCTTTGATTCTGCGTTATCTACTATAAGCCTCCCCATTTCTCTTTATCCAATCCTCCCTATCCCTTGATATCCAGCAACCACCGGATTGTTGACCCTACCCTTTAACTTTATGGAAACATGTTGGCCCTGTGCTCTCCTAATATTCGTCTTGCATGTATCCCACTCCTCTAACATTAATTCATCTAAAATTATCTGCACCCTGTCCACTCTGGTTAAGTCATGTCTGATCTTATTAAAATCAGTATGCCCCAAGTTTATAAGTTTAATTTCAGGCCCATCCTTGTTCTTTTCCATCAAAATCTTGAATCTAAAAGAGTAATGATGAAAATGCTCCTCCCACTGATACTTCAACCACTTGCTCAACTTCATCACCTAAAATTAAGCTCAGGACCACCCCGCCTTTTCTACAGCCTTCTATATACGGGCTTAAAAAGCTCTCCTGGATTCATTTTAAGAATTCCACTAAACCTTTCACACTATGTCTAGCCCAGTTAATGTTGGTGAATTTGAAATCCCCGACTGTCACTACCCTATTATTTTTACAGTTTTCTGAACCCTGCCTATGTATCTGCTCCTCTATTTTCGTTGGACTTCAGGAGGCCTATAGTACGCTCCCAGCAATGTGATTGCTCCTTATTGGTTTTTAAGTTCTGCCCACATGGCTTCATTTGAGGAGCTCTCTAAGATGTCATCCCTCCTTACTGCTGTAACTGTTCTCCGATCAGTATTGCCACACGTCCTTCTCTTTTATCTCCTTCCCTGTCTCACCTGAAGACCATGTATCCTGAAATATTGAGCTGTCAATCCTGCACCCTCCCTTCTCAACCATGTCTCATTGAGAGCAACGCCAACAAATTGCGGTTGAGTTGAGAGAATTGAAGAAGCTGCATAGAGAGTGCCCATCACAGTTCAGGAAACAAGAAGAGAACTCACCATCTTCTGCATGTTTGCTGCAGGAGGCTGAACTTTGCTCCTGAGACGGTTATGGTGGGCCAGGATGCTGAAGCGTTCTTTGGGCGCCAACTCTGCAAGGAGCAGGTGATAAAAATGTAAAAATGCAAATGCCAGGGCTTAACTTCCAAGATCTCCATGGCAACCACCAAATGTGTTTCAAAGTTCCAATTCTGACCCTGGACACTAACAGGAATAATTCACTAATCGTTGTAAAAAAGAAGAAAACAACCTTTAGTACAACTTCTCCAGTGCAATCTGACCCCTTTGCAAGATCTGATTCTAAAATTAGTTACACTTTTGCACAAGTATGCCTTCAGAGATTGAAGCTGTTCTGCTCAAAAGGAGGTCAGATAGAAGTTGTCTTTGACACCCCTCCCAAAGCTGGCATCCAAACAAAAACTAGTCCCACTTTTAATTCAGTCTATCTTAATTCTGAATAATTGGGGTAACTTTTTTTTTGCTTAAAATCAAGTGCCAGTCGCTCATTCAAAGTACAGGAGAGAGAGAGAGAGGTGGGGAAGAGAGAAGCGACCCGACTCCCCTACCTTTCCGATCCCAGTTGAGGATCCCTTCCCCCGGCGGCGCTACTTGTACCTCGCCTGCAGTAGCTACCAGCAGGTTGGCGAGCAACAGCAGCCGCACTGGGAAGCTCGCCGCTCCTTCCATCTGGTTCGGTAGTCGGTGCACTTGTTGCAGTCTTTCTCTCGCTCACAAACACACACACTGGCTCCTTCTACTGAGGCGGTGTAGCAGGGATTGGATAGTGAAAGAGAGAGAGAGAGAAACAACAGGCAGTCAAGGGGACACAGAGAGAAATCAGCCAGTGCCTGCTGCATGCACACTGCATACAGCAGTGCTCGGTAACCACGTCTAGCACTTGCAGGCTGCAGTGGCTATAATGTTCCCTGCTCCACTCCCCAGTATCGAACATATCCAGGTCAGGGGCAGCGGCACCTTGTCAGATCTCAATGCCTGCCCTTTCAGGTTGAGTTGAACAGCTGCCTGTTCTGCGCACATCAAGCCAGCATTTATTGTCCACCGTTGTGAAGGCGATGGTAGACCAGGTGCAAGTCTGGGTGGCGAAGCTGCTCCCACGCTAAGTAGGGAGTTCTAGGATTTGGAATCAGTGGCAATAATGGATTGGGGATCAGGAAGCAAGGGCACTCATGCCTCCCTGCATTTACAGGCGTCCACAGACCTGCCCCGTGAGTTTTTGGGCAGCAGTTGTAAGCTTTTTGAGATCCTTTTCAACACTCTGCAGAGGTTCTGTCTGCTGAATGAGAACATTTTAACCAATGGATTGGAAAAGAAAGTCTTTACCGAGAGCACACAGAATCTAAACAATGCTGAATTTGGATGGCAACTTCAGCGCAATATCATGTGGTGACGTTTCACAATTCACTCAGGGAGGTCACGTTGCTGTAGTAACATGCATGTTTTTGCCATACGCTAGCTAAGCCTGATTTATGAACAGTCATGGAAGAGACTACGTTATCTGCCATTATCTGGCTGACCAGGAATCTCTCCCATTCTCACCACCTTGCCATTCACATGGGCTGGAAGGATTTGAAGGCTAGATCACCTTGCTTGGCTGTATTATGAATGCACTAAAAGTTAATACTCCATGCTAGAGGGTATCTGGCAGTAATTGTAAATTACCACTCTGTTAATGGACTCACTTATACTCCAGCCTTAAACATTTCTGATTCGTTTAGTCAGTATACATTGGATAATTATCACAACTCTGGGTCCTTACAGGCATATAAGTCTGAATATCCAGGCATGGTACAAGTTTAAAGAAATCAGACCCATATACATCTCTCCCAAATCTTTTAGTGATCAATATTTTTGTAATACATTTGCTTATATACTTACATTTACTATTATCCCATCTCCCCTACATTTTTGACAATACTAATTCAGACAACCTGGAGATTTCACTATTCTCCCTGAATGGGTTCTAATCAGCTTTGCAAGAATAGAAAGTTTGTTTGGTAGAATGTAGTTGTCTTTAACTGTATTCCTGACTGAGATCTGTTGCTGTCTTTTGAACTGGTAGGCATTTAATCTCTTGTATTTCTCTCAAGCAGGCTGTTATCTCTGCTAAAGAAGGCACTTTTTCTTTGCAATCTTTTGAATCTTGCTTGTCTCTTCTCAGTGGTGTATTCCAAACAGTTGTAGGCACCAAATCCGAAACTTGTGTCAGTAGATTTTTGTTGCTTCCAAGTCTAACTTGAAACTAATAAGATGCACATTGACAGGAGTATCAGTTTGCCAAAATATTTGATCCAGTTCAATAATTTCAGGAAAACCTGAGATTTGTCTTTTTCCGGAGACTATTCTACCTCAATTTCCTTTTGGGTTTAACAGCTGTTGCTATTTTGCTTTTTGGTGGAGTATCCAGCTTTAGCACTTTTCCCTAAAGCAATATGGTTCTATAAAGAAGCTTTTGGTTTTTAGTGTTTGCACCTATGAGGTTTCTTCGCTCTACACATTATTGATAAGAGCTCCCTACCTTTTGCATTGATGAATCATGTATCTTTTGCCAATCTGTACTTTTCAAAGGTATCCTGCACCAAAATTGAACTTTTCCCATTGGGATTGATCTGTATTACTCCCAGACCTCTGCTTCACTCACCATCTGAATCACTCTCTCTACAGCCAGGTCTGCTTTGGACTATAATAAACCTGACAAACACTCATCAACAATTCCTCCAACATTTTGGTCTCTTATGAATTCTGATACTAAGTCATCATAAGTTGCAGCTCATGACTAATTTGGACAGATCAATAATGAAGTCATCTATAGATTCTCTTGGATGATGTACTCTGTTGAACCTTGATTTTTGAAGAATTTTGTTACATCTGAGATTGTCAGGGGCTTTCAGTACCACTTCAAATGTGTCTGTTGCTATTTTTACATCCTTGACAAGCAATAATATTATCTGCTAAACTTCCAATGGTGAACTGAATTATATGTAGTACTGAAGACTTGTGCTCCAGGGTTAGCTTTGTCTCTAGACAAGCTGCTCCACTGCAGCTACAACATTGAGAAATTTTCCATATTGTCATATTCTAGGTAGATACTAGGTATGTCCTAAGCACAAGGACCAGGACACATTCAAACCAGTCACTTACCACCCTATCTATCTACTCTTGGTTGTCAACAAAGTGTTGCCAACAGTGTTATCAAGCAGCACTCACGAAGGAATAAATTATTCACTGATATTCCATTCCACTGATATTCCACAAAGCCGCTCAGTTCTTGACCTCATTACAGTCTTGATTGGACAAAATAGCTGAATTCAGTGGTGAGGTGGAAGTGACTGCTTTTGACATCAAGGGCAGCATTTAACTGAATACAGCATCAAGAGATCATAGCAAAAGTAGAATCAATGGGAATCGGAGGAAACCTCTGCTGGTTATAGTCTCACCTGCATGCTTGCCCTCCAAGTCACATATGAACCAGACTTGAAACTATATCTTTATTCCTTCATTGTTATTAGGTCAAAATCCTAGAAATCTCTTCCTAACAGCAGATGTACCTAAAAAATGTCTTTTCCCAATATCACGCTTCGCTGGAGTAACACACTGGAAATCAAGCCCCACTATTCCTGGAGTCATTGCAAAAGTTAAAATTTTTTTTAAAATTTGCAGAATTCTCCAATTTTCCTGTTGTTTAGACCCAGGTTGACAGTAAACACAGACCAGGTTTCTGTATTTATGAAGTATACCAGGGCAACACAGTGGCTCAGTGGTTAGCACTGCTGCCTCACAGCGCCGGGGATCCAGGCTTAATTCCACCCTCAGTGTGGAGTTTGCATATTCTCCCGTGCCTGCGTGGGTTTCCTCCAGGTGCTCCAGTTCCCTCCCACAGTCCAGAGATGTGCAGGTTAAGTGGGATTGGCCATGCTAAATTGCCACATAGTGTCCAGAGACGTGCAAATTAGGTGGATTAGCCATGGGGAGTGCTGGGTTATAGGGATAGGGTAGTGGCATGGGTCTGGGTGGGATGCTCTTTGGAGGGTTGGTGTGGACTCGATGGGCCGAATGGCCTGCTTCCACACTAAGGATTCTACGATTCTGTGGATTCTGTGATTGTAAATAAGTAGATTCTAGTTTCAGATTATGAACAATCATGAACCTTTGTAATATAACTCTATCAGTTAAAACTCTAACCCCGTTGTAAACTTCCCCTTTACAAATGCATATAATCAGATATAGACCAGAAATAAAAACATGGGTATTATGGGTGGAGGGAAAGACAGTGAAGACAGTTCAGTGGTCCCTTCCAATAGGGTTTGCTGAGATGATTCTTGTGCTGATCAGAAAGCTGCTTCTTATTCTTCATTCTCAAAAACTTTGACCTGTTTGGAGGAGACACAGGTTGACTGTATCCTCTTACAAAAGTCTTTGACTTATCAATTAATAGTCACAGCTTACAGTAACTGGAAACGTGAAATAAACTGGCTACCTACAGACTTGAGATGCTTTTACTGTGGAGAAAAGAAACAGTTCTTGCTTTTGCATAGATCCAATTGCTTCTGCCAAAATATTCACACTCCAAGCTGTTTGGCTAGCTGTAATTGTTGACAGTCACAAGGTTTTTGTGATCGATAACTGATCATTAGTCCTCAGAGAAATCAGTTACTTGTTCCTAGCCAAACCTTTATTTCTCCAGCTCATCTCCAAACTAGGATTCCACTACTGTCTGAACAAGCAGCTATGTAAACAGTACTTACAATGAGCATTAACTTACTTGCTTTTCAAATGTGCAGCAATTCCTGGTTTTTAAAACAGTTGTTTCCTCTTCTCAGCCCACAATCAAAAATATAGAAAAATAAAAAAAATACGATCTGCACACCAAGGACTGCAAAAGTTCAAGAAGACAATACACTACCACTTTGTCCAAGGCAGTTAGGGTTGGGCAAGACATGTTGGCCAAGCCAGCAATGCCCACATACCATGGATGAAGTAAAAGCAATACTTTTTCCGCTTTTGAGTTAGTACTCAGTTTAAAAGCTATTATATACTTCAAGAATTGCTATCTCCAGGATTTCCAATTTTGTGCCATCTATTTAATTAACTTTTCCTTCCAGTACAACTTCTGATGCTAAGGTGCAATGGAAGAATGTCACCTTTTGTGCCTGGAATGGAGGTTCCTCTGGTGGCACTTATGTAGTATTCCCTGTGTGTAGTGAGGATTTCCCATCCTTTGTAGCTGCAGTTGAGTCTCCCAAAGTATTTCTGTGTTGCTTCAGAATCAGTCTTTAAATTGCCAATGGCTCTTTGCCGCAAAATGGCTGGTTTCACAACTTCCCTACTTCTTAGTTCCCAGATAATGTGAGTTTCTCTCTTGACCCCATTCGCTCAATTCATGCCTCTTGGTATTCACCTGCTAATGGTCGTGACGCAGTACATTCAAAATCACAGCAATTCAATGCACAAAAACAAATTCATTTTGCCCCACCCCATTTTCTTTACGCTCATGGCCTGATGAGTACTTTTCCTGTGTAATACTCATGATGTCATTTGAAATCTTTCCCCACTTAGTCACTGCCCAGAATGTAGACTCGAGGGTTATTAATCATTCCGTGTGGTAAAATATGCTGACATTAAGGTAGGCTTTAATCAATCCAGTGAGCAGCGAATTATCATACACATGTAAGATAGGAAGATAAATTGGCTAAATATACAAGTTGAAATTATTATTTGCTTATTTGATTATATATCAACTGGGCTATTGCAGTGTGTTCAGGGATCATTTCTGGATATTGTGGAATAAAGGGCTAATTA